GAGCATCATCAGAGGGGATTTGGGGGGCAATCATTTGTCTCTTGTTTTCTTGCCTGGAGAAAAAGACAGATCATTGTTATGTTGTCTGTGCTACAAGCAAAAAAAAAAAAAATCAAAAGTCTGAAAGGTGGTCTAAAACTCAGATGTAGTGGCTGTTTGCTGAATGATTTGTCCTCCCATAGTTAGCATAAAAATGGCATAAAAGTCAGGATGGGAACTGTTTACCATGCTGCTTGGGCAGAATTGCATATCCAGGTGTGACCAGCACCAAGTTGCTTATCTGTGGCAACCGAGTGGCATTTTATTGATATCCCACTTTTGAAACCAYGTTCTCATAATATGAGGACCAACTTTGTACCAAAAATGCTGATGAATCTTCTTGCACCTTATCTTTCCATTTCAGCCAAGTTTCTRGATTTTTATGTTTTACTTTAGCTAGTAGGTGTTTCAAACCCCGTCTTATCCTGAGTTAAATTGCACRATGCCTCTAACTTCAAGGATTGGCAAAAAATCTGGTGTCTAGTCTGATGGTGTTAGCTGTGGTTGGTCARGTTGCTGACAGGGGCAAAATGGAGCAATCTTGTGCGTCACTGGAGGAAATAGCCCTGACTTTGAAGAAGCCCTGGGAGCAGGCGTGATGAGTAAGCAGCAGCCCAATTTTAATATTTATTTATTTTCCCTCAGATGTGAATCTTAGCTTTAGGTACTGTTTGTTTCCCATCGTGGATGGGTTCTGTAATTGAATTGTATCTCTGTTTCATGACCCTGCCAGCCCCAGTGCAGAAGCAGTGACCTTTCTCAAGGATGAAAGCTATTTTTAGGTAGGGAAATGAGAACATCCAACCAGGCAGAGGTTTGTTTTATGGCTTCATACATGACAGCTAGAGAAGGAGCTTCCCGAGGAATCTTTCTGTTTCTCCAAGATGTGCAGCTTTGTTCTCTTAAGAGTTAAGGCAACCTGAAGGGGACTGTGTCATTTCAGCCACTTGGGTTTCATTTGCAGACAACCCAGCAGCTTGGGCTGGCTTTCCTCCAGCTTTGCTGCTGGCCAAGCACGGCTCTTCCCTCTCTTTGTACTCTCGGCTCCAGGASCTGGATCCTGTTTAGCCAGTTTTTCAATCTGGTGCCCAGACTCCCCCCCCTTCCTCTTAACCATTTTTTTTCCTCCAAGAACAGGTTTGGATTTTTCAGAGGTAAATATCCAGAGCCACTTGCTTGCTACTAAACTATAGCTTCTCTGTGTCCAGGTTTTAATCTCAGTATTGAATTATTGAACATGTTCCTTCATGACATGATTTGTTAGACCTCTAGTAGAGTGTCTGCTCTTGTGCAACAAGCAGCGGAGGGTGATGCCCATGCACTGTGCTTCTCACAGGCTAAAAGGAGGTTGGTTGCAAGATGCAAGCAGTGATGATTAATGTGCTGTAATAACGTGGTTATGATGAGATGAAATAACTGGATTAACAGGGSAGACTGAGAGTGTGGGAGCTTCGTGAAGGAAGCCTCAAGGTGGGGCAGCTCTGCATGCTAAAGCAAAGGAGTGCTGTGGAGGGCAGCGTGCAGATGAACGACAGCAGGTAAATAGCTGGGGTGGCTTTGATTAGTGGAGTCGAGGAGACCTGGGTGGAATTTGCAAAATGACACAGCTGCACGCAGGACATTGAAAACAGGAGCCAGAAAAAATGTAATGTAAATCCGGCACTAGTCTTAACTTGTCCTGAACATGCTGCGTTTGGGTGTGTGCTGTTTGCCAGGTTGTTTTTGAGATGCTGCCTGAAATCTGAAGTGTGGAGAAGAAAGCTGAAAATGGCTTTTCAGCAGGAACTCTGACTTGCTTAACTTGTATTTCAGTGCAAGTTTATAACCATACCTGCACTGCTTGCTTTAATTGCTTCCGAATATACTGAATATAGGTAGAATAGGCTACCTAAGGCTTTCAGGCATCTGCTGTCCACCTCCTTAAGGCCTTCAGCCTTAGGGTGCTTTGTAACCTATAGTAACAAGAGCTGCTCCATAACTCTGCTTTTCCTATGTAGCCTTTCCAGGGGCTGAGGGCATCTCATCCGGGTGGAAGCAGTCAGGTCAGGACCTGTCCTTCCTGTGCACTGGTGTTAAGCTCACTGCTGTGTCCTGTGCTCTTCTCCTCGGTGAATCCTCCTGCTCATGCGCCTCTCACCTGTCCCCTTCCTCTCTTCAGTTAACCTGGGGAGTCAGTTTGGGGCAGAAAGGATTGTTTGCATCTCCTGGCTGCTCTCCCCATGTTCCTTTTGCCTTCTAGTCCAGAGGAGACTGCCTGAACTTTGAAAAGCTATTATAAAATAGGAGGTACATAGTAAAAGCTGCTAATCTAATGACCTTTTATTTAAGGTAGCCTCTATTAATTGGGGCAAGTGATTGTTTTGACTAGTTGATTTTTTTTTTTTTTTTTTTACATATGTCAAGCAGTGGAAAGGAGTTTGCAATGTTGAATGTTATAACTATGCTTTATTAAATTAGGGCAAATATTTAGGCATGGTTAAAAACAAAAATGTAACTATTGTCTTTTTGCCTTTTTTCAACCTTAATACACCTAGGACATCGAGCTTTTCTCTGACCTTAATTTCACTCTTCGTATTGTCCTCTCCCCTGGGGTTGTTGTGCTGCGTATCTGTGTCTCAGCTTTATGTTGCATGGGAAACGCAAGCTGAAAATTAATGTGACTGTTTCACTGCAACAGTCTGGATTTCACTAAGACTAAATCACTACGTGATCATTTAATCACTTGTCCAAATATTTTTCTCATTTCACTTTCTAATTTGATGAAAACTGAACTGCTATTCTTTTGTTTTACATATTTTAAAATAAGGGGAGGGGAATTGCATTTTCTGTTTTCATAAAGTTTGGGGGTTTCCCTCTTATCAAAATAGCTTCATCCTTACAGCTTTTCTCTTAAGAGCCCATGTGCATCTGGAGAAACCTGGGGTGCAAAGTTGAAGGTTTGGGGAGTGTTTTGTTACTGCTCGTCACTAAGGCTCTGCTTCCTTTTGGCAAGAATCATCGTATGTACCACCTGGATTCCTATCAGTGTTTCCAACCCTTTTTTGCAAATATTTGTTCTTTCCTGTGCCCAGGAATTAAAACAGAAAGTAATAAGATGTAGCATCTAGTTAGAGGTCCTTGTGTCTGGTGTTCTGCTGTGGAGCTTTGTTGCTGGCCTGGGACTGTGGCGGTCCCCAGAGCTGTATTTCTTCAGTGGTTCCTTTGAATTCTCTGGATTTTTCTTCTCTCTTTCTGGTGTTTACGCATCAGTTGAGGTATTTTGAGCACTCCTGGATCTCGATTTTCTGACTTTTAAATCATTCCTAAACAGTGACTCGTTTTTATAGCCTCAGGTTCTACAGACCTTCAACTCGTGATGTGAACACACCATCTGGACTAGCATTTGAGAGGAAAGGTTTTGTTTATTTTTTGTAAAGTGCAGAGAACCACATTTCAAAGCGTGAAGGGAAGAATATTTCATCCTTCTTAACCTTTCAAGTATCTTCTGTTTGATTAAGTAACATCCTTTTTATATAGCTCTAATCTTTAATTTAGGCAACTTAAACAAGGGACTGATGTGTCCCCCTCCCCTTACTCAGCAATGCACAAAATTCTCTCTGTCTTGATGTAATGTAGTAGTCGCTGCTCTCGCAGCAGTAGGGGAGCTCAGACTAGCTGCCTAAGTCTAGAAAAGGATCAGAATTGAATTTCAGCTGTTCCTTTGACTTAAAGCCTGCCTAATCTTTACCTGCATTCATGTTCAGTACATGATTTCTCCCTTGTGGAGCGTTCCCTTTGGGACACAGTGCTGCAATGGGTGTTTGGAGTTAATATTGGATAGCTGTGGGTCAGATCATCAGCATGTCATCCTTCCAAAGGAGAGACCAACAAACTAACTGCCAACAAACCCTCTTTCCCCATAAATAGGTTAAAATAGAGCTATTTTGAGAGTCGGAAAATCAACTTTTTGTCATAAAGTCGTAAAATCAGTCTGCTTTTTGGGGATGGTTGKTTTTTAATTGTAAGCTATTCCTAAGAGCAATGGGAGGCTGCTGCTTAGTGGTGTTAATGACTGCTTTGTTTGTGATGTGATGCTTTCCCGGGAGGGAGCAGCACCAAGAGGGAAGCCTGGAATAATTGTATTTGTCCCCTTGAAAGTTAACTAACAAGCTTCTATTTACTAATTTGATACGTGTACTTCAGTGCTTTAGCTACCTATTATGAGCAAGAAAGTTAATACTGGTGTGGGCTAATATAAATATTGGGAAGTGTTGTATAAGGGCGGAAAATCAAATTGAACCTGCTGCTCTTATTCTCCTTGAGAATTAACCTATTGGGGGTTATCCATCCTGCAGGTAGGGGATAATTTTGTGTTAGCAAGTGTTCATAATATCATATCTCATGAAGAACTTTCATTGACTTGACTCAAACTTGCTGATAACGTCACTTTTGAAGGTACTAGGCAAGATTTTCTTTGGCTTTTCTTAGTACTGCGTTTTAAATGTTAATAAATCCTCAGGAGCARCTTTTTGCCTTTTTGAAGGTCAAAATAGAACAAAATAAGGATAACTGAAGTCAAAGGTAGGTTAGGTTTAAAAAAAAAGGGGGGGGGCAATTGAAAAATGAGTATTGTAATTGGTCTTGAAAAGCTTTTTATTCTTTCAGGTGTTCCACAGCCTTTTACAATGAGTAGGAGTTCAGATTTTGAACCTTTATTATAATAAAGGTTACAGCATACGTTAGAATGCCTAATTCTGCTATCTTGTTCTAACTGTACTTTTCCCCACACTGCTGGTGTTACTGCTTTTCTGTTCTGCAAATGCATATTATTAGGAGCTCTCATCTGATCTCCATTGTGATTTTTTTCAAAAGCTAATATAAAATTTTGACTTTACTTTCTATTTTTTGATAAATAATAACTTGTCATTTTATGGCATTAGTTGTATCGGAGAGTAAAATGAAATTTATCATTTTATTTTCAGTTTAGTCAGCTGGTATCCAGTGATTTGAAAGTACTTGGAAGGAGCTCCTATACACTCTGCAGCGATGGCCAGTTACTCATTCGACAAGTCCTCCACCCAGAAACATCTAAGAAGGTATGAGATCAGACTTGTTGTAGAAGGGCAGAAGAAGGGCTGGTTTTTAAGGTCATCAAAGAAAGTAGTTGACATGAGTCTGAGGTGAGTAACACAACCCAGCCTTGGAAGATATAATGTTCCAAGAATACTAATGGTGCTCAGTCACATGGTGAGTAGCAGAGTAGTGCTAGATGTTGCTCTTGGAAGTTGGCTGCAGCCTCTAAGGCCCCAGAGATATGAGCATAAAGAGGAGGAAAATAAGGAAAGCAAAGATAAAGAAAGGAACAGTTCAAGTTGTTTCAATTCACAGGAAGAGGGAAGAGAAGCGAAGGTACGATTCCAACCTTCTAGACAGCTACTCTTGTGCCTAAGCTTGAGGTAAACTCATGGCTCTGTGTGGAGCCATGGATTCCAGCTGGGATCAGAAATTAATGGGAGTCCCTGTCCTAAAAAGAGTCCACTTAGGCAGCAACTTGCCCTGGAGAATGGCAGTGGTTCCTATCTACACTTCTTCAGCAGGAGTCTGCATGGGTGTCACGCTRCGGTAGAGTTGCTAYTCCAACATGAAGCAGCAGTTTCTCYTCCAGATTCCTGCAGGGGCACTGAGCTGGCTTCTTGCACAGGGATAAGAATCTTGTGTTTGTGCAAGTTGGTGTTTTTGGAGTTAGCCTGTCTGCAGCAACCCCACAGGAATGGGAGGTGCTGACCTGACATAAAGGAGTTGGCTGATTAGTAATATGTATTTTTTTTTCTCTATGTAAGGGCATTGCTCAGTGCTGAGTTCCTACAAATATCCCTTTGGTATTTGTGTAACATCATTATTTATTCCTTGAGAAGAAAAAGCTAATGCCTATGTGAAGGTCTGTTGTGAATGTTTGTTTAATTACATTGTATAAATAAAGTTCTTATCCAGTATGGAACAGTAATAAATGAAAATGTCTTTTAACTTGCTGGAAGATATATTGTACACCGAAACAGTATTTACTTTAAACTTTGTTATGATCTTTTGACACGCTGGTCCCGTTTAGTGTAGGCACAAAATTAAAGAAAACTTTATATCCTGAATACTCCTATTTTATACAACAGCAGAATTGTTACTRAAAGTAATAGGTGTTTTTATTTATTTATTTTTCTCCCCCCACCTCTCTCTAAGCTGTCCATAGCTGTTTTGCACAGGTTTACCATTCAGGAGATACTTAGTTCAGCTTTTCTAATGTTGCAAGACTCTGGGTTTGAACTGCATTACAAAGGAACTGAACTGTTTGATCGTAGATAAACTGATGGCATGCAACTATGTGATGCTTGAAACTGCCTTGTTTAGTGCAAAGATCTTAAAACAGAATTTAGAGGAATGGTGTATACAAAACAACCTTTTTGCCTTCCTTGCAGAACTTCCTGCTGTCAGACTGCTTTTATTCTTTTTATGATCTTCGCAAGGAATTTCACACGTGCTATCCTAGCTCAGCCGCCGTGAAAGACCAGAATATCAAGACTATGGCAGAATGTATCCTTTCGCTGCACGTTTTACACAAGAATCATTTTCACATTTCTAGGATTTATCTCTATGATCACTACAGTTTTTATGCTCCTAARCTAAGATAAAAGTTTTAAAATCTTGCTCATAAAATTGAAGGAACTTCAAGCAGAACACACTTCACTCGGTAGTATTTTTTTCACTTTTCCTGCTTGGTAATTCCATTGAAGAAAGATGCTTGTGTTGGTACTTGTAGCTCTCAGCAGGCCTTTTTAAGAACAGATGGGTTTCTCCTGTTAGCAGATAGTGAGGATCAGACAGATAACTATTGCTGAAATGAGTTGAAAACAAAAACAAACCCTACGAGAACTTCTGTGACCCCACTGAATGCTGTTAAAGTTCAGTTATGTTTGAAGTGACAGAATCTTATCCTGTGTTATTCCACTTCTTTTTTTTCTTTTTTTCCTTTTTTTTGTAAGCTGTCAATAGTTTTCTGACTGTTGACTATTAAAGTGAATATTAACCAGTTTATGAGCAGAGTAGCAAATGCCTAATGGTCCACGTGCCCCAGCAGAGACCAATACAGTTTGCTCACCCATTCTGTGTCAGTAGCAGCCCAGCTTTACGGCCTGTTTACAAATGGTTGTGCAAACCTGTGATTTCCTATACTGACCTGCTTAGATCTAGGCTTAGGGACGGATGAAACGGAGGAGGACTTCGGYGTGTGGCAGGTGAAGACCATGGTGGCCATCATTGTCAGCATGCTCTCTGAAAGCTGCGGTAAGTGGCCTGTTCATGCAGAGTGCTGCCGTCTCCCCTCCTCATGCAAACTGGCAGGGGTCCTGTCATTGCTACTTAAGTAATCTCTGACCCTGCTTATATTTCAACTTCTTTTCTTGTTGCAGATGACATATTTACTGAACCTGAGACTGTGAAGTACAAGTATGAAACAGGTCCCTGGTAAGTGCCATTGTCACAACTGTTTATAACCAAAGATGAGTTGTGTCTGCAGCAARGAAAGCTTATTAATATTTCCTCACCATCACTGTGAAAATAGGTTGTTTCCTGGAAGCAATAACATTGTACTTGTTAATACAGTGAAGACAGACTGTAGTTGGTATTTGGAATGCTGTGCTTTAGTCCTTTGCTTCAAAGGCACTGCAAGTAAAAGGCTCTTTGACCAGCTTCTTTTYTGAAGGACAGCCAAGCTGACTTTTCTTACCCAGTGGTGAAGAAATATTTGTGGACTTTCCCTAAATTGATAGGGTGGTAGCTTGTGCACCCTATRTGGAATGAAAGGGAAGTGTTTTTTATTTGTTTGTGGGATTTTTTTTTCCAAATATATTTCAGTAACTGGTTGAATTCTTCATCTTAAACACAAGTGATTATACTTATTTATGTGTAGGATTGTAATGTAGCTATCTGTGTGGAATGTTGAATCTACAATCTTTTTTTTCCAAATAAAATTCATCCAATACATTACTACTTTGCCATAAGACAAAGTTATTTGTTTAAAGAACAGTAATGTGGTAGACAACCTAGTACATTTTGCCCATGGTGTATATGAGGGTATTATCCCAGTCATTTCCAGTTCCTATATTGAAATGAGTACCAGAATTAGAGTCTTGACAGGAGAGAGAGTCTTGATTTATGTATTAAATAAATGGTAAAGTGCAATTTGTTAAGATAATGGAAAACATGGATTAAAGGTTACCTTGGCTTCTCTTTTTCCCCACTCTATGCAGTAGTAAATCTGAAACAGTGGACAGTGAGACAGTAATACGTGCCAGAGGTTTGCCGTGGCAGTCTTCAGACCAAGATATTGCTCGTTTTTTCAAAGGACTCAACATTGCCAAGTAAGAAAATCAGAATTTTTCCCTATGAAAAAAACATATCCCTCCTCTCTGTCCCCTTCCTTCCCACCCCCCCCCCCCAAAAAAAAAAAAAAAGAGGAAATTGGAATCTATGTACATTATTATGGCACTAAGCAGTGGATAGTAGTATTTTTTTTTTTCCCATTGAAAACTCCTTGTTAAAGCTGGTTTTCTCAGTGCTCACAGGAAATTATTGGACTGGTTCATTAGATGCATTAAACATTCCAATTCCCATTTCTCTTTGGCTTACCTTGCAGAGGCGGCGTGGCCCTTTGTCTGAATGCTCAAGGAAGGAGGAACGGGGAGGCTTTAGTTCGGTTTGTGAATTCCGAACAGAGAGACCTGGCTTTGGAAAGACATAAGCATCACATGGGTAGCAGATACATTGAGGTAAGAAAATATATATTTGAAACAAGTCTTTGGAAAGCAACTTGGATATCTTTAATGCACAGTTTTGAATGAGAACATATTTGTTCTCTTATGTTGCTTAAAATAAGCAAAGTATAATTCTGTTGCATGCAGAAGTGTTTTATGAAGCCTGGGCCTCTGACGCTCTTTGGAAATAGTGAGAACTGAATCTCTGCCTTTACTTGATGGTTTATTTTTGAAAATCCCATGCTAAGTTAACTTTAAATGTATTAATTGTTTCATAGATACATAGATTTACAGAATAATGAAGTTAAGATGTAACTTAAGCCTTAACTTAGCATGGGATCTGAAAAATGTTTTTATTTATAGTTGAACTTTGTGATTTTTCATGTGTGCGTTTTTGTCTTCAAGGTTTACAAAGCAACTGGGGAAGAATTTTTAAAAATTGCAGGAGGTAAGTGATGCTGGGCTTCATCAGAATTATTAAAGTTCATAGCAATCTTCCAGTTTTGCTTTTTCTTGGCTGAGGACACAAATGGAAAAGGAAGTGGTTTTTCCTCTTTTACCCTCAGAGATGCCCATGTTCGAGTCTCAAGTAGTTGAACTGGAGCTGTGGGCATTTGGGTTGTGATGATGTCTTTCCCAACTTCATTGCAATAGGAAAAACTTAAAGGGTGAGGAAGTTGATCCTTATATGATGCTTTAGAAAAGATTATTGGGGATGGGTAGTGTCTCAATGCATTGTTGCTTCTGAGGCTTGCAGAAATGGCTGACCAGCTCCAGCTGAGCCTCTGTTGTTCTCTTTTTGCTAGGCACCTCCAATGAAGTGGCCCAGTTTTTATCTAAGGAGAATCAAGTTATCATCCGGATGAGAGGCCTTCCTTTCACTGCTACTCAGGAGGATGTCTTGGGCTTCCTGGGGCCAGAGTGCCCGGTCACAGGAGGGAAAGAAGGACTTCTCTTTGTCAAATACCCAGATGGGAGGCCCACGGGAGATGCATTTGTGTTGTTTTCCTGTGAAGAATATGCACAGAATGCACTTAAAAAGCACAAAGAAATCCTTGGAAAGCGTTACATTGAACTCTTCAGAAGCACAGCAGCAGAAGTGCAACAGGTTGTAACTATTGACTGTGAGACTCAAAACTCAGCAGTTACACATTTCTTCCAATACTTGCATATAGGTATCTTGTAGATAGTCAGGAAAGTCTTGAATATGAAGGATATTCACTTCTAGAAAGGGCGATATGGGCTTCTTGATTAGCGTGGAAAATTAGGCACCGTTGTTTTTATTGGCAGTTTTTATAACATTCCCCAGATAATGAAGGAAAATAATAATTTTCTTCCACACCTTAAAATTAATTCTAAACATGTACTAGATTGCTGATATTGTAATAAGGCCTCTTGAAAATCTGAAGTATTCCCTTAAAATTSTTTTGCCCATGCATAGAATCTCTAACATAAAATCCAAATCTGAATGCATTGAAAGAGCTTTTTTTTTTTTTATAACTGTTTTGTTGGGCGGTAAGGATTATCAGAAAGTGACTGAAATGAAAGAAGTAAAATCTTTGTTTTCTTAAGAAAATATATTTTACACCTCCCCTTACCCTCCCTACCTCCTTTCACCAGTTTCATACTATTAAAATACTATTTTATTTTGGCATGAGCAACTCTAGCTTTAGAAAACACGACAGGTTTTTCTGCTTGACAGGGAATGTTTCTAAAGGAAATCATTATGAGAGTTGATCCAGCTTTTACATAAGCAGTGGTTGTAAAACCTAATGCAATTACTGTTTCAACTAACATGCAATGACAAGCGCTGGGCCAGGGGAAAGCTTGCACTTGTAGACCTGTCACATTTACCTGTAGTCCTGTGAGATGGAGATTAGAACAGTCAAGAATCTGATATGTGTATTATGAAGCCTAAGTAAATAGCACTGGTGAGTTGCTTTTTTCTTGTGATTTTTAATTTCTCCTTGGAGAAGAAGAGGTGAAGTCCTCCAAGGACCCAGCCTGCTATGTCACAGTGACCAGCTTTTCACTCCCATTTTGTTATATGACGTATTTATGTCATTGCTTCTTCCTCTGGGACAGATTTCTAAGGTGATTTTTTTTTTTGCTACTTGAGCAATACCCCATTTGGAGGGGAATGCAATTTGAGTAATTATGAGAGGTAAAGCAAGCTCTCATCTGCTTAGTTCCTAATAGAAAGGAATTACAATATTTCCAATATTTTCAGTCTTGAAATGTTGAACATATAAATTATTGGTGGGGGGGAAGGCTTCTGTTGAGACAGCCTCTCTAGGTTGAATTGTTGTTGACAGAATTAAAACTTTGCAATCTCTTTTTGTGCCTCTCAGTGGAGTGTGTCACAATCGCACTGCTTTGTGAAGGAGACRCTTCAAAAAGGAAAAAGCCCTTTTTTTTAATTGCCTGGTTTAATTTGCTGCAATTTAAGTAAGAACTGTTAAGCAACAATACTGGCCTATCAGCACAACCGTTTTTCAGCAGCTTCATTTGGGAATGCCCAACAAACAGTTATTCTGTTTAAGCATTTTTTGTTGTTGTTTTTCCTGTATTGGAAATGGATTTATTTAATTTAAACGTATGAAATGGTATGGTGAACATAAGCTGCTGTGCCCAGCCACATGATTTGTAAGCCTTTACGCTGCTTTTCTGTTGCCACCAGGTGCTTAACCGCTACATGTCCACGCCTCTCATTCCCACCCTGCCGACTCCCATCATTCCCGTCATCCCCCCACCGTATACCATCGCCACGGGGAGCGTGCGCGACTGCGTGCGGCTCAGGGGCCTGCCCTACACTGCTGGCATCGACGACATCCTGGAATTTATGGGGGACGCCACAGGGGATATCAAGCCCCACGGAGTTCACATGGTCCTTAACCAGCAGGTAACAGCACTTTGCAAAGGAGAGCTAACCTGATATAGACACATGTTTTCTTCTACTGTCTTTGCATTCCCTTTTCTCCATCTCTCGCTCCCTTTCACGTGAGCATTTGCTTTTCTCTTGGTCTCTGTATATGAGAGACTGGGAAGGATAAAGCTTGTGGCCTCYTCTTTTAGAGATGTCCGTGTCCAAGAGGCTGCTGCAAATGCTTCCTCATGTTCCAGTGCTGAAATCCTGAGACGTCTCAGGATTCAAAGGGAGTTGATAATTAGAGTAGGCTTTGAATGTGTTTTAATGTTATAATTAAAGGGGTATTTTGTCTTTGCTATCTTTCATTAAAAATAAAGTCCTCTGGCCACAGAAATATTAAAGTATTATCCTTAAAGATTTTTGTTTTGGTTGGGTAAAGAAGGAAGCTTTCTAATATTTTACATTTAGATGGATAAGCTCTAAGTGGGCTGATCTGACTTTGAAATTAGCCCTGCTTTGAACAGGGGGTGGATTAGAGACTTTCAAAGCTTGTTTTCATTCCAAATAATTATAATAAATATGTAAAGGTATAATTTCACTAATTATGATTCATTGGTTGAATTATTAGYCATTCATACCAGATGGGAAATAACAATACAGACTTTCGGTAGACACTTGATCTTGATGTCTTCTGTGTTTCTCATGTTTTAGCTGTTTTAATAACCGATGGATTTATTTTTTTTTAGGGACGGCCATCAGGTGACGCTTTTATCCAAATGAAATCTGCTGACAAAGCCTTTATGGTGGCTCAGAAATGTCACAAAAAAATGATGAAGGACCGTTATGTGGAAGTATTCCAGTGTTCAGGAGAGGAGATGAACTTTGTTTTAATGGGTGGCACTTTAAATCGTAGTGGCTTATCCCCACCGCCATGTAAGTTACCATGTAAGTCTGCACTTGTTCTGCTCTCTGCTGCTAAAGGCTGATATGTGGTAGGTGCTGAAGCTTTGTGGCCTTTCACCTTTTGACTTGGGTTTTGCCATGATCAGCAATCATCCGCCTGTGTCCGTACTGAGATTGGAATTGTTCCCTTGGGGCAATAATGGGACTGATTGGAGGCGCGTTTTATTGTATTTTCGGTGGTGAGTAGAGGGCAGCAAGGCCTTGCCAGCAAAATTGCTGCACTTCGCTTTCCGTGGGTGTACTGTTCTTCTGAGCTCTGCGGTAGACTTGCCTATAGTGAAACCTACTTGGAATAAGAGGGGTTTTTAAAAGGGGTGAAAAAAAATCTGTACTCCAGCTGCCAATGAGTGCTCTTGCTGTCTTGCCTTTGAGCATTGAGAAGGTACTCTTTGGGCTTCTATTTGAAGGAAAACACCCACTGAGGTGATATGSCAATGGACTATGGAACGGTGAAGTTGGATTTTTTTTAAGAATACAAAAAACTTCATTGTGGAAGTAGAATGGAACCTCATTGTACCATTCTGATCTGTGCCACTACCAAATTACAAAGCAGATACCAGTGTGTATTTGCAAAACAGTAAAAAGCTGCCAAATATAGTATTTAAAAAGCATTTGACTGAACGTCAGGCTTAATGTCTGCATGGAAGTAGGTATTTGTGCATGAAAATACATTAGACTAGTTTTCCCCACCAGTACTTCATTGGTAATATCCTAAGAACACCTTTTGCAGCTGCAGGAGGCTTTTACATGAGGGCTCATGGTCAGCACTTGCAGATGCCCGTGTGTAGTGGACATGATATGGTGCTTTTGTCCCACAGAGTACAACTTCTGTTAGAAAGAAGGATGGGTGTGTTGGTGCGCACGCCTGCTTTCTCTATGCACGTGGCTTAATGCTTTCCTCAAATAACTCTGCAGTTCCCTACTTTCCGTGGACAAGGCTGCTCACCTCTAGGACTTGTGAACTCCTAGGAATTGCTCATTTCCAGTGCCCCAGCAGTCACTCGTGGTGATGCAAGCTGGCGTTTCTAGGAGAGAAGCTAGAGAGCAGTCTTTGCACAAGTGTTCAGTAATCCTGCCCATGTGGTATTAATCACTTCAGAGTCAATAATTCCTTTCTTATAACGGAGATCTCCTTTCTGATTTTAGCTGTTGTTGTTTTCTGGTTTGTTTTCCAGGTCTTTCTCCTCCAGCTTATGCTGCTTTCCAAACCGCAGCAGCTGTGATCCCAGCAGAAGCAGCTCTGTACCAGCCCCAAGCCCTCTTGCCAGCGACCAGGACTCCGCAGGCCACGGCTGCAGCTCCACCGGCTGTTACCTACTACCCGGCTCAGGCCGCTCAGCTTTACATGAATTACACAGCCTATTATCCCAGGTACCCCTGGCCTTAGCTCTCTTTATCTCTCATCTCTGTGGAGCAGGAAACTGTGTGGTCACTTGTGCATAATTCTTAAATTTGTTCTCCTCATCTTGGTAATTGGGCAAATTTATTGATGTTAATCAGCAGAGACTGATTAACTGCTGCTTTAAYCAGGTTATCAAGTTAGTTTCTCCATAGCAAGGAGATAAAACAAGCACTCTCACACATACAAGCCAAGCAGAGGATCTCCACTTTTCCCTTTTTCCCTGGTGATGTCAACATGACTCACTTAAGCCTGATGCTTGGATCCAGGTGGGAAATTTGGTAATTACGAGGCTTGCAACACTTGCTAGCCTGAGTGTCTGGTAGTTTGTTAGACAGGCCCTGACCTGAGATGTTGCTTTGCTCAATATCTTGTGGTTAGCATGAGACTTGAGCCCTTGCCTGCGTTTCATACTAGGATTTTTGTTTTCTCTTTTATTTAATATCTTAGAAGCTGCGGTGGCCTGTTCTTTCTTTTTCTTCCTCAAGTGGAAACAGCAAATACTTTTTTTTACTTGATAGAGAGAGGGGTATTATGTTGTTAGCTCTATCATTACGTGCTGCAAGTATTAAACCATTTATTGGTTTTCATAATTATTTTGTACCTCTTTCTCTTTCAGCCCTCCAGTATCCCCTACCACAGTGGGGTATATTGCAGCTCCCCCAGGAGCCGTAGCAGCTGCGGCCACTGCCACCCACACTCCAATCCTGCCCCAGCCTGGAGCTTTAGTCCGTATGCAGGGCTTGCCATACAACACGGGAATGAAGGAGATTCTCAGTTTCTTCCAGGGATACCAGGTTGGTCTGCAGTATCTCTCCTTTATAACATATTTGAATGCTGTGAGTAGTGGTTGTTGTGAGCAAGTTCAAAATTCTTTTTGAGCACTGAGCAAGTTCATTGTTCTTTTGGAGAATGCAAGCTGCCTGTCCTTGTACAACACGCTGGCTGTCTGCCAGTTAAGTAAGACTTGCCTTATTTCTTTCATAATAAACATATTCTGTTTTGAAAGCAATGATGTACGGTTCAGACGCAAGACTTAAATGTCCCAAACTGCTGAGAGCAACTTTCTAGTACAAAAGGCTCTTTCTGCAGCCTGGCTGGGCGACTTGCATTGCCAAAGGAGATGGACCGATGTCAGACACTCATGCAAAGACTAATTACTTTGGTTACAGACACAAACATTTTATATTAAACTGCATTTTATGGCAACCTAAAGGAAAACTGTTTCCCAACTCATGTTGTGCTGATAGCAAATGTAACTTCAGCTGGTATCTTAAAAATTCAGTGCTTTATTTCTGGGCAAACATATGAATTTATCTTGAGGAAAATTTAAAAACTGTCACATACAAACTATTTTTTTCAGCAGCATATATAATTAAGTGAAATGGAGAACTTGTATTTTGCCTTTCATCTTAAAGGTTATKATATATATATCCATACTTTGTCATCAGATACTAAATTATTTTAGCCAATATGTGGTGAGTATTTAACATCTGCAGATAACAGTATTCATGTGAACATCAGTTATGTCCTTTGGTAGTACTCAAGCCCTGACCTAAACTTCTTTTGATGGATCTTAAACCACTGTTCAAGTGATGAATGCGAAGACAAGATAACTTCTACATGAGATTATTCTTCAAAATTCTGGTAGCAATCATATTGCAGGTTTTTATTATTAAAGGCTGAGATGCAACTGATGTGTTTTAAGAGGCAGCAGCAGTCAACACCACTTTTAGGCATAGTATATTTTTCTTTTTTTACTTTTATTTTTTAAAGACAACAGGCTTTATCTTCTAAAGCCAGATGTCTGGTGTGTAAGTGAGTGTAGGTTGATAAAAGTTTCTTTATAGTTCAGCATTTTGAATACTTGGCAAATATAGTGCTGTACCTGCTATGACTTCTCTTAAAATGCTTAATCTGTATTGGAAAATAATTTCACATCCTCTTTTTTCTCAGTGGGAAAAAAAATCAAAAATCAGCTTGTAAAAGTGTGATGAATTTTACAGTCAGATTAAAAACAAGCTAAACTTATTGAATGTTTTTTCCTTCACTTCAATAGGATATTTTCAGAATTCAACTCAAATTCAGTTGTGTGTGGATTTTTTCCAGATATATGGTAGCAATTGTTCATCTGTTGCTTAGCCATTGGTATCTTTATTTTTTTCTCCACCAGCACCACCTCCATTAGGTAAATGGATGGTCATTGTATGAAAGCATTAGTGGGGAAAGCCTATTATCTAAATTAAAGTTCAAATTGACATGCAAGGATGCTATTGAAAATGCAACCTGTCCTTGTCTGGGCATGGAAGTAACTTTTGACTTCTGTGGGGTCTGTCATCTACTAAATCTTCAGCTTGGTGAATCTGGACTTTGGTCTTGGAATTTGCCCTTTTTCTTGTTGCTGTATTTGTGAAGCAGCTTACATTGTTTGTATTGCATAATCTAATGGTTCAAATGAATAGGAACTTTGCCATAAGGTGAAATTATTTATATTCTTATCGTCACAAGTTCTTATCATCAATTACTGCTATTAAATTGGTCGCCTCTTTGGTTTCCTTAGAAGATGTTATCCAAATGAGATCAGGTTCAATATCTTATAAAGGAACTAAGGAGTTATTTTGAATTGTTCTTGGATTCTTCATGTGGTAATACTAGTTTTACACTCCTTCATTCCTTTAGTGGGGAAAAAGAGGTGGTGACTTACTGTGCTGGGACAATACTCTGTCTCTAGAAGAGTCAATAATTATTTTTTTTTTCTTTTCCATCCCCTTCTTTTCTCTTCACGTTGTTGTTTTTTTTTTTTTCACTTTCTGCTGCTACCAATGGATGTATGGGAAGATGCTTCTGATTTTTTATAAAGTGAGCCCTTACTAATCACTAGTGGTTTGGACATGGTTTTGATCTCTGTATAACTAATTGATGTTGGCATTCAATGGGTTTGGGAAGCAGATCTGATGAAGAGATTGAAGGGTGATTTTTGGCTTTCTATGTCCTCATTTGAAAGGAACAAGCTCTAAGGTTTAGTTCTTGCTTGATTCTCCTCTGTTTCCTTCCTTCAGTTTTCATGGGCTCCATACATTGCGTGTAAGCACATGCTGCTACATAAGTGAAAGCCTCTCTCATACCAGACCTGCCTCTTAAGAGACTGACTTTGATTAGCAGCTTCAACAAGCCGGTCTCAACCTCAGTACATGCTTCTAATAGTAAATAATATAAAATTCTACACAGCAACATTTAAAATTTTTATCAGCACTAGCCTATTGTTTAGTGTTCCAGCAGCTTGATTTCTTCTTCTAGTTCTGATTTTTTTTTTATTTTTTTACTGCACTTAACTTTGCATGTATTTAATGCATCTTGCATGTATTTAATGCATCTGCCTCTCTCTGTGCCCCTCATGGGCATGCAGATGTATTGCTACCATTGACAGAGTTGATATTACATCAAGAATTCTTAGGTTTATTTAGAAATAAAAGCAAGTTTACTGTGCTTCTGGTCTTGGATCACCAAAAGCTAATTCACAACTGTTTTATTGACTAGGATGCAGCTCTTCTTTCAAACTTGCTGTTTCATTAGCTTGCCTATCAGTCTAGTAGGACGTTGTATTCAGAAGTAGTCAGGTATTAAATTAGGAGATGGCTAAGATTTAAGAGATCATAGTCATTGTATGAGTTTTATTTAAAGTTGAAATTTGCTTAAAAAAGAAAAGGCTGTGGTAAAAGCTTACCCCTTCGTATCTTTGTTTTTATAAAGTAAAAGTAAAATAAATTAATATCTTTTATACCTGTTCTGGGCTTAGGTGCCTTTAATCTGCAACTAAAATAGCTTTTTCATTATATTAATCCTCTGAGTCTTCAGAGGCCCAGAACTCGAGGCGTATTGTTTGGCTTGTTGTGTTTAAAACAGTAATGAGGAGGTGGAGGGAAACGGGTGGCTAAATTCCAAGGGCATTAAACAACCCCTCTCTCTCTTCTCTATTTTATATCAGGACAGCAGGCTTCATTGTTGCTGACTTTTTAGGGATTAGGGTTTTTTTYYCCTCTAAAATGCAACCTGAACAAAGAAGTATTCTCTGCTTCCCTTGGGCTCCTTTTGAAATCTGATGCTCCCRAGCCCGCGAGGGTCACCCCAGCGTCTGCCTGCCAGTTAGACACACAGCACCTTCTGCCCGGGAAGGGAAGGAGAGGAGATACAGCAGAGGGAGAACACCCAATATACTCCAGTAGTCAAAATGCGTAGGCGATTTAGATGCTATATGCCCACCCCACATAGACCCTATATCTCCAGCCCCTGGGCTACAGCATGCTATTAGATTTGCTTGGTTCCTAAATAGATATTCCATCTGGAAGTGTTGTGTGTGTGGACAGTGCGTCCAGTGTAACGGGATTAGTGAATTGGTAATTATTGTTTCTGTCAGATCCCTGCCATGCTTGAGGTAATGCACTAAGTGGCAGCACCTTCCAGCTGTGCCTTTTGTGAGCGACTAAGCAACGTGAGCTGGGTTTGCTGTTCTCCGAGCTCTGGGGTGTTGCCTCTGCTTGCATCAGCATTTCTAGAGTATTATTGATATATTTTAGTGGCAAAGCTTTTTAAAGGTATTACTGCCTGCTCTTGTATCAAGGGTTGCAATTGCCTGAGTTTTAGCTTTTGCAGCTGGTTGTGGGCCTGGATGACCAAAGCCCTCGCACAGAATGGTGAGGAATAGTGGACACGGCTGCAAGACGGAAGGAAGTAGCAACCGAGCAGAAATGTCGTGTTTCCTATAACAGCAAAGCTAGTTGTCATCACGTTGTAGTTTATAATTCAGGCTTATTTTAGTCAGATTTTTTCCAAAGTCCTAAATTGCTGGCCTTTTTTTTCTTTAGGAGCCATTCTGTGATAAGAGCTTAATATCCGTACGGAGCCTGATGACAGATTATCAGTAGTTAGGCACGAATTGCAACTGGACTCTTCCTCAAATCCCTTGGCATGTGCCATTTTAGACTGCACCATTTCTGTGTACACAGCAGGAGCTGCAAAAATTGAAATCATCCTCAGTGTCTGGCTGGTTAGTGACCTGCTGGAATCAGCACGCGGGCTGTGCGGGTACAAGGACAGACCCACGTTCCTCTTAAGGTAGCAGGTGTTTCTGAAGGCAATAAACCAATACAGCGACCACAGCGAAAGCARCAGTTTCTGGCCACAACTGTTGGTTAGAAATGATCGCTCCTTTTTGGAGAGAGGAGTTGCTGTTGTTATTCTCTAATACACCCAAGTTGATGTATAACACTTCAAATGTTATTTTAGCTCCTTAAAAAGGTAGATGGGTTGTAATGTAAACCACTGGTGCTGTGAAGAAGCAGTGAGTCCTTAGAAAACACAGATTTGCTTTAGTCTCTCCATTTGACGAGTSTGTCTAAAGGGGTCTAAGACTGATCTTATTGCAGTCTGTCTTAAACTCACCCACTGCTTGTGAAGGAGCATGGGGAACAGGAAAGTAGAAAAATGCAGCTGAGCTTGGATTATATGATTCTGCAGTGTATAGTAGGAAAAATCAATTCAGACATTTCTGTTTTGTGARACGAGAGAGAATTGGCCATCTTTTCTGGCTAGAAGAGAATTGCTGGATTTAAGATCAGGCTGTGTGTATATGTTCCAATAAACACACACACGTAAGTGTAAAAGTTTAGAGCTTCACAGATTAAATTTAGAAGGCTGTAAAATGACACAGAGGGATTCTTACTAAAATCTGCAAATTCTCTTCATTTGGTTAAATGAAGCTATTACGAAGCTACAAAGTTCACTGCTTCTATAAACCATGTCCCTGAAGGGATTTTACAACCCAGAAGTCCTAATAGTTTTCCAGTAAATACTGAAAGCAGCCATCTATTCTGATGTTACTGCCAGTGACAAAAGATTGCCTTTGTTGCCAGTGAATCTGCTGAGAACAACAAAACAAAATAAAAAGCAAGTGTGCCAGTACTTGCAGGAATGTTTGTATAGTTTTTCAGTACACATTTTGTTTTTCGGGGTCATCTTCACCATTCTAGGATCATCATCTCCATCATTCCAGTATCATCTTTCTTCCCATCAGCTGCCTTTTTTCATTTTCTTCCATGTAAATGCATCTGTTTTTTGCCATCTTTCATCCTACAGTAGAACTAATAGTTGCCCTTAAATTTTCTTTTAGTCGCCACTTGCAGAGGATCTGTTTTGCTTCCATCTTYTAGGCCAGATTGTAAATGCAGACACACTGCATGTTGGCAAAGGCAGCAGAGCTGTGTTTCTGCTTCTGGAGCAATGGGAATTCACTCGGTTTCACCCATGGTTTTACCCAATCTGTGCTGTGGTGGGTTAGCCTGGGTGGCTCCGTGCTTTTGTTTGGTTCCTGGGGGGTTGAATGCGCACGGAATCTGAAGTTTCATGATGAGGCATTTCCTCAGGCAGCCTAGAATAGTTTCCRCTTTGTTCACAAGGAGTAGCATCGCCCATATTTTACTATTTCTTAGCATGGTTAGCAGCATTACATTTTGAAATCTCTAAATTTTAAGACTTAATTATTCCACAAATCCTCTCTTAATTGTATGAAGTCTTTCACTCATCTTTCTTGTGATTCTAAGCTGCTTCTCTCAGTTGGTATCGAGTGGTCTGGGTTTTTTTTGTTTGTTTTTTTTTTGGGGGGGGGTGGTATTTTTTTGTTTTGTTTTTTAATAGGCCTAAGTTCCAATCACTTTGATAATGCTGGATAATTTTCCCACTTTCATGTTTTCCTCACAGCTTATGAATTTCGAGTATACCCTTTTTAAACATTGTCCCTCACTGGAGGCTATATGGCTTTAMTTACTGTACATCTACTCATAATCTAAAGTATGTACTATCTTGAGACATTCCTTCCAAAGAGTAAACTTACATTTTGTAGGTTTGTTTCAAGGGCAGGTCTGGGAACTGGTAATTCTAATATTTGCACGATCTGGTTGCCCTGGCAGAGCCTATCTAGAAAACACTTCTCATATTTGTCCTTTACTTAATGGCATGGGTCTAGATGTGAAGGTGGGTAGAATTCAGTAGTAAAAAATTCTAGGGGTTCTTTAGTATTTTCTGGGCTCATGGTTATCATTCTTTGTGGCAGGTGTATAAATGTGGTGGTTTTTCTTTTTCTAATTTTGGATTTTATTTTTTCTTTTTAATTTTTAATGGAAAGATGCAATATCCTATATTCCCCAATATAATATCTTTTTTTTTTTTTCTCCCTAAGCTGGCAGGAGACCTTTTGTACCACAGGAATCTCAGGGGAAGGTGACATGTGTATCTTGTGTATTGGGCAGTCCTCTAAAATGTTAGAGCAAGAAAGCGATTGTGGGAAAGATGGAAAGCTCTTCCTCTTGGCGCTGAAAGGAAGTAGCCTAACTTGARTTACACTGAGCATGTTGCCTCCTGGAGTACAGAAACCACCTCAGCATCTCTATAGTGTGTGCGAGAATGCCCAGCCCTTTTAGCAGCTGTATCAGCAAGATGCTCAGCCCTCCCCGTGAGGGTCCTCGCTGCAAGCCTGGTTGTGCAGGCTGCAGTGTTGTTGCCTGGTGCTGGCTGCTGCCTCACGAGTATAAGGAAAAAAGGAGTATCTGGGGCTCTAAATTGTTTCCCTGTCTTGTTAAGGAGAAGTTCCAAAGTACAGTTCAGGATGTTCCCTATGTGCTTTGCTTTAAATTCATGTCTACAACCTGTCATTGAGTTGGTGTATTTTATATCTTGCGTAAAAAGTAGTGTCTGTCAAATTCACTGTCTCCTGCCAGTTATTACGGCTGACGCTTTTATTTATGGTTGCAAATGATGGTCTGTGTGGCTCGCTGTACCAGAACCATTCCTTTTGCTGATTCTCATGTATCACACTTGTACTGTAGTACGCTACCGATGACTACAATGGCCTTATTCAGCTGAGCGATCAAGCAAGGAGTGTGTTACAAGCACCGAAAGAGTGGGTCTGTTTGTAACTCTTTGTAACTTCCGAAGAAGGTAAGATGCATCTGCAGAAACTGCCTTTCCAAGGGTGCATGGGAAGGGAAAGAAGAGCTTGGTGATGCGGAGACTTTGTTTCCCCTCCCTTTCCTAGCTTGTGCTGGGATCCTTGCTTTAATCTTTCTGCTTTTGTCCTAYTAAAAAGTAACTAACATAAGGAAACAGGCTACGTGTGATCTGTAGATGATGTGATGGTGGAAGTGGTGGGAATGCTTGGTTTTGTGCAAAGAGCATAGACAATGCCACAAGGATTTATTAGTAATTATTGTGTGAAGTTCCCTGTCTGGTAACTCTTAGTGTAACGTCGAAGATGGATTTGTCTTGATCTGGCTCCAGGACACACAAACAAATGCACGTGGAAAAAAAAAACCCAACCCTTGGCTTTCTTGCTCCTGTGCTATGTAGCTGCCTAGACATTAATTTCTCCCTTTTCCTCATCTTAGTGTGAACTACCAACTTGTTCCTTAGGAGAGGTTTCTTTGGCATGGTGGCTTTTTTAATGCAATGGTCTAAGTTTGTTCATGGTCAACCTGCATGCTTTCTCAGTCATCTATGAGCACTAATGCATGATTCTTAAAGAAATTTCATTGTAACCCAGATGGAGTTGATGACTTCCGAATTCTATTGTATTCCATTTAAAATGCTACTGAGATAATGTAGTAGCTTCAAAATTGACTGAGCTGATGGTGATTGCATTTGGATAGCTTTTTCTATGAAAATATGACTGCCTGTTGGTTTCTTTTCCCCCTAAAACTAGTGGATCTGCTAGGGGGCACTTTGGGACAGGGTTGGTACCAAATAATACCTCTGCTATTCTAAGCATGTCGACACACTTGTCCCTCTTAATACTGTTGCTTGCAGAATAGGTAGACTTCTCTTCTAACTTTCTGTATAACTCTCCCTTCCATAATGAATTTCCAGATCCTGACTTGTGTATTTTCAGTTGCCTGTGTTCTGCAATATTAAACTTGCATTCAGCTRTTTCAGAGTAGATCAGCTCAAATTTGTGCCCAGGTCTCTCTTTGTGCACAGTATTGTTCTGAACTAAACAAAGATTATTCCAAACCTCATCTGGGCTTCTGACATGATGTTCTATTTGTGTGCGTGTGTGTGTGTGTGTTGTTTTTAATGCTGCTTCCTGTCTAATTTTCTTCCATAGAAATTCTATGTTATTTGATACTGTCTGTATTAACTGTCCTTATATGCACTTTTAGTAACTAATAGATAATGTTGCTTATGGCTTAAGTAAAACTTTGCTGTCTCTGAGGCTTTTGGGTGAGTGAAGTTCTGGCATCTACTCGCTTTATTTTAATATGTCCAAATATAAAGCTGTTCAGAAACTGGTTTTGGTAACTGAGACGTGTAACTGAGAGCTTCTCACAGTATACTGGGCATGCATAAGATYCATTAGAAAACCAAGCCCTTATTTTACCCTTTTTGTAAACTCACGAGGACACAGGCCACACAAAGTTAACTTGGAACAAAATCCATACTTACAAAACTGGCCTTCCAGCATGGATCATATGTGGCTTTTGTGGCACTGATCTCTCCAATAAACTGACCTGGTGAGCTGAGTTTTTGGTCCTTCAGCATGTCATTTCTAAACTTTATTTGGATCTATTTCTGTCCAATATTCAAATGGGACTTCCAAGCTTAACCTGGAGGGACTGCCAGCGTGCCACAAGAAATGCCTTGGGTACCATTGGGCAGACAGATGTGTCTGAAACAGCTGGGCACTTTCAAACTGTCTTTAAAGGATTCCCCAGGGCAGACTCTCTCCAAAGTGGATTAACTGCCAGGACAGAATGGCCTCTCATGTTATCCTGCCTTTTGCTTAGCTTCATTTAAATTACAATAAARTTTTATTTAATATAGCTTTTGTAAATGTTATTTTGTTTCACAGAACAATCTTTCTTGGTCTGTGTATATATGAGAGTTGAGCTAATCCTCCCAACATCACTTTTTTATTGCTCTATCCATCTCTGTCACTTGGTCAGTATTTCACATAATACAAGAATTTATTCACTGAATGCCCGAACTTTCTTGCTCAGTTTATCCTTAATGGACATTTAAGTCTTTCTTTCCATGTTAGCCTTTAATTTGAATTACTTCTCTAGCAAATTGTTTGCATAGAATTATTTCTGCATCACTCTGTCCAACACAGAAAAAATAAAATATAGCAGCAGAATAAAAGCTGCTGCTCTTCTCCAAGCTAAAATAAACTGATATTTTTTTTTTTCTATCTGCACTCCCTTCTCCTCTTTGCCATTCTTGCATCCAAAACCTCTTTTRCTGGAAGCACAGGAGTGGAATGCAAGAGCACTCAAAGCTAGTTTCCAGATGTGGTCTCTGGTCTTAACAGTGGTTCTCCTTTTGTTCTTGTGCCCTTGCAGCTCCACGCAGATTCCATYCTCGTGCTTTACAACTTTAGTGGCCAGCCCAGTGGAGAGGCATTGGTGACTTTTCCAAGCCTGGAACTAGCTAAGAAAGCAGTGGCTGAGAAAAACGGACAGCTCTTGGGAAGCCGCTATGTAGAACTCTACCTGGTCTAACGAAACATTCTTTGCGGGGAGGGGGAAGGAAAGCTGCGCTCACCACGGTGCCTCCTCCAAAATCCCGAGTCTTCCCCTGCCAGGCAGCAGCACATGTGCCTTCTCAGCATGATATGTTGGAATATAGAGCGGTGTCCTGTTTGTATTTTGCAAAATAATGTATCCTATGCCAAAGATAAAGAAAAAAAACAAATCATACGGTTAACTTAATTTCTACTGTACTTGTTAAAAACCCTTCCTGCCATCTGGTTACTTCTGAAGACAATCTAATAGCACTTCAGCTATCACAGCTGTGAGAGAAACCTATTGCCTGTTCAATAGCATCTGAGGTGGAAAGCAAAGCTCAAGTCATGCGGATTCTGTGTTGAATTTTTAGGAGATTACACTTGGCAAAGTGTCTGTTTTTGGTAGAGTTTAAATGCCCTTTAGAAAGAGTTTCTGGAATATGCAGCTTCCCCAATTTGAAGCATGGATGCTATTGATGATGATAATGTTCTCAACTGAAAAATAGCGGGATGCTGGACTCGAATGCGATGGCGCTTTCTCATGTTGTCATTCTGTTGTTCTGCAAAAGCCATATTTGTACTGCTGCCAATGTGTAAAGCAAAAAAAAAGAAAGGCAAAAACAGAAAAAAAATCCTCCCCCAAACTTTTAATCTCTACAGGACAAAAATGGCACATAAACCTGAGTACTAATAAGTTATATTTTTTTATTTAAGCATAATAGCTTTCAGATACTGTATTAAAGATTTTGCTCTAGTTTATGTGCATGCAATTTGTTTACATCTTTAAACTACTTTATTTGTATATTATGAAGCAACAAAATACGTTGAAATCTAAATTCTCTAGTGCATGCTCTTTTCTTTTTCCCTGTGTGTGTATATACATAAGCTAGAAGAAGTACTTTTACGTCATGTAGCATGTGTTTAAAAAGGAGAGGAGAAAAAAAAGACATCTGCTGTAGAAGCACTAAGTGACTTTGTTTTTACTGTGCCTTACTTCAAATCTATTCCAAGTGCAATACCAGCAGAGCAAAATCTAATGAATCCTTTTGTGACAGGTTCATGGATGTCTGGATTGATCTTTTTTGTTAGTGTACAATTTGAGTTGTACTTGACGGAATGATGTATGCTTCTTTATACTACAACAAATAAAAGTGTTGCTTACAATGCACCTTGGCTTTTTAAAGTAAGTTATACCATGTTTAAATGTGCTTTATGGATGGTCATTCTCTGATGAGTAAATTTTTACAGATTTCTTCTTCCCTAGATCCTGGATTAGGTAAGCATACATGTGGGTTAGGTAATCATAAGTTGGGGTGCTTCTCTCTCTGCTTTTAAGCAAGAAATATACACAATATAGATAACTATAAGTAAGATAAGGATATATACACAATAAGCACTTTCCTTGTAGCAGAATGCTCTTAGGTTGGTAGTGTCCAACCCAAAATGTTAGATTTTGTTGTGACTGAACCAGGCAACTGTTGTGTAGTAAAGTGAGGTGTGTGGAAAATGAACAAAAAAGGTCAAAACTATCAGCTTTGTTTCGTCCTAATCCACCTGTCACATGTCAGATGCCATTTCATCAATAAAGCCTCAAATGAGTTAAAGCACTATCAGGTGTGCCTGGGGCTGAAGCCTGCTCCATAACCTTAAAATGGCACTGGTTTTATATATCCTGAGATTAATCTTGGAGTCTAAAGGAACTGGAATAGCAGGTAGGACTGCATGACTGTGATTCTTGTGACTTTGAAATTTTGAAAGGGAGAAATATTTTCAATAGCARTTCTGAGCAATACAGAGCCTATGGACGTAGCTATTGGACCACATGAGCACGCTGCAGGTGGTCAGGTCTGGGTTATGGCTTTCTAATGGGGATCTGCTCTTTTAGCAGCTTATGGGAGCTGTTGCTTTGCATCAGCTTTGTGCCTTTACTTAAAAGCATCCAGCCTTCTGCCAGCTCAACTGTTGCTTATATGTGCTCAGCTCCCTGCTCATCTGGAGCAGAGTTGAAATACAAAACCTGGAGCAGCCCCCTTGGCTTGGATTGCTGCACATTTCTCCTTTAACTCCTCTCTGGCTTTCAAAGTGTGCAGCAGGGACTAGAGTTTAAAGCTGTAGGTGTAGTTCTGCACTGATCTTAAGTGTAATTGGTAACACACTCCACCATGGGGAGAGACTGGGTCTAACTACCTCTTGGAGGGGAGGGTGGAGAACAAGAGGGGAAAAAAAAACTGTTTTGTCTGTATATAAACTGTAATCTGTGCAAGCAGTATACTTATTTTAGAAGATGGGGTAAATGCAGGTGTGTAAAACTATACCCATTTTGGTACAGCTGCAGCAGCCCCTGCTCTGGTGTGCAGACCAGAGCTGGCATAGCCTTGACTATGTTGGGTAAAGAAAACTGCACTGTCTTGCCAAACAGGAAATAAGGGTAGAGAAATAAACAACTCCCTTGCTTCTTTGAGCAAGGATATTTTCTTAATTACCTCATTTAACTGCACTAGAGAGTAGGGAGCTTTGGTTTAGCTAGAGAAGGAGCTGTAAGTGGAGAGAGAGCACTGCTGGGGCAGGAGACAGGGCTTAGGAGAGAACTTTATTTCTTTGCATCCCTCTTTCCTTTGTGCCCCTCTGCTTCCCTCCCGTAGGGCCGTTACCCCGCCCGGCCGTTGGTCGTTACCCGGCGCGGCCGTTACCGCCGTTGGCCGTTACCTCGCGCGGCCGTTGGCCGTTACCCGGCGCGGCCGTTACCGCCGTTGGCCGTTACCTCGCGCGGCCGTTGGCCGTTACCCCGCGGCCGTTGCGCAGCTCCCCCCTGGCGGCCGCAGGCGGTGACACGGAGAAGCGGCGCCAGGGCCGGGCTACGGAGCCGGTGCCCATAGCTTAAAATGGAAGGAGCCTTCCTGTGCTGCCGAGTATAACGGCTCTTTTCCGTGATAAAGAGAAGCTGTGCCTGAGCATTTTCCTGTGCGGATTTAGGCCATGGTGGGAGATATGGATTGGGGATGGCTGTAGCCCTGGAGCAGCYTCCCTCTCTCGCCTTGGTCCTTCTCCATCACATCTGCCTCGCTCCACCCCAAGACCTGAGGTGCTTGTAAATGAGGGTTTTCCCCCCTGTCTTTAGCCCGGTAGGAGTATATTTGCATTTGGTATTAGAGACTTCTTGCCAGGCTCTGAGGTGGGATAAAATCCCTGTAGCTGAGCACGCTTTTCCTGGCCTTGAGGTGCTCCCAGGCCRGCTGGCCAGGGGAGTTATGTGGCTTAAGGGAGAGTCTGCCCTGAGGCAGGGAGGGGAGCTCGAGTTGAGATGGGTATATCCTGAATGGGGACAGCTTAATAAAGCAGTATCTGCTGGAAGTGCACGTGTGTTTGCACTTAGCCTTTAGCTAAACTGACCAGTGCATGCTGGAAGAGCTGCAACTTAGTGTGGGGGTTTTACAGGTGATAGGTAGCAGCTCTCCCTTGCAATCGGAACACAGACACTCTCACCATGCATCATTGGACAGTTTACATTGCTGGAGACAGCTGGGAGCTTGAGGTAAGGCCTAAATATTATTTTTCTTCTCTCTGCACTGTGTATTTAGTCTTTGCAAATGTATTTCTGGACTTGCTGTTTTGCAGAAGTCTTTCCAAGGGGTTAGCTGTCTATGAGTAATCTGATACAGTAAGTTTTATATAAAAAGTGAATATCAAAAATATCCAGGTTTAATTGTTTGCCACAAAGAAAGATGAATTGTATGAGAAAATGTGATTTGATTATTATTGTTTTCAAAATGAGGTTATTTTGTGCCTGCAAATTAGAAAAATAGCTTAAGTGCACTTGTGTTGCTATATTCTTGGTAGACTCAGTGGATCCTTATTTTGGTATGTAATTTTAATAAACTATACTTAGTATTTTACTAATTACACTAATCTTTTCTGGTGGTAGATGCTCCCCTTAGAGCAGRATTTACAAGCGGTATAGTTCAAATAAAAACGAAACTTGGAAAATCCTGAAGTATTTGTATCAACTACAGCAAAAGGAAGGGCTTTTTTGGGCTTATTCCAGTAAATAATTTTGAACCTATTGGTCTTGACAKCAGAGGCTATTATGCTTCCCACAAAACCACTGMTTTATTTTCATAGAATCATAGAATGCCGAAGGTTGGAAGGGACCTCARAGGTCATCGAGTCCAACCCCCCTGCTCATGCAGGGTCACCTAGAGCACGTGGCACAGGGCTGCATCCAAGACCAATTTTAATTTGGTCTTTGTTTTTCTGTTTTACATGCAACGTATATTTGTTTTCTGCCTATGGTGGGGCACTCACTGATACTCAACAAGGCTGCTTTGAAACGTGCAACTTCATTTCAAACTGTGAAAATTACCACAGGGAAATACTCTATTTGGTTCTGTTTGGCTGTAGGGAGAGGCTTTAAAAAAAATGAGTGCTGTAAGAATAAATCATTCAAATGTTTTAATAAATATCCAGTGGGAATGGTTAAACAAAAAAAATGCTGTAAGTATGACCCACATGGGGCTACATTGTCCTAGTACATTTAAAAAAAAAAAWTACAGAAAACAGTAATGAATGACATGAATGCAAATGGTGCTTTGGTTTTCTTGGATCCACTTAATGGTGCAACCTAGTGGATATTCAGCTTGGGGTGAGAGTGCCTGGGAGGCTCCAGTCTTTTCCCCACAGTGCCTTTTATTCCTGTTGGGCACCTGGCCTCAAGCCGCTCTAGGCAGAGACTCCTTAAGAGAGGACTCCATGCCTGGGAGCACCATCCTTTTCCGGGCTGCGGTCTCTATTTTCCGCACAAGATCGACCTCCCAGCGGTAGGTGACAAAGCTGACCACAGTGCCAGGCCCCTTGCTGCTCACGCGCCCGACGCGCCCCGCGCGGTGCAGATAGTCCTGCAGGCTGCCAGGGAAGTCGTAGTTGACCACGAGCTCCACGCCGCTCGTGTCCAGGCCCCGCGCGGCCAGGTCGGTGCACACGAGGACGTCCACCTCGCCCTTCTGGAAGGYGGCGAAGATGCCGACTCTGTCGGCTGCCGACATCTGTCCCTGCAGCCTCAGGTGCTTGATTTTGTGGTCATCCAGGATGTAGCCCAGCCAGTTGACGGTGCTGGCGTTGTTGCAGAAGACTAGGACGGCCCCAGTAGACGGCCGGCGGTCCTTGAGGAGCAGCAGCAGCTCAGTTAGCTTGTCCTGGCACTTGATGCGGATGAACTTCTGCGGGACGTGGGGCGGGAGGCAGTGCAGGCTCCGCGTGGCCAGCGTGACAAAGCGTCCCACGTCCGTGAACCTCCCCAGCACCTCGCTCAACCCCGCAGGGAAAGTGGCGCCCACCACCACCACCTGGGTCTGGGCCTCCTTGGGGCCGGCGGGGCCGGCGGCTCCCGCGGCCAGCGGCGTTTGCGCCAGGATCTCCTCCAGCAGCCCCGCGAAGGACTCGTCCAGCA